GCCAGGCATGGTGGTACAACCTGCGATCCCAGCACTGGGGAGGCTGAGGCAGAAGGATCAGCACAAGTTCTAAGGCTAGCCTGAACTACACAGTGAAACCCTCTCTCTTTCTCTCTGTCTCTGTCTCTGTCTCTGTCTCTGTCTCTGTCTCTCTCTCTCTCTCTCACACACACACACACACACACACACATAATCTGCAAAGTTGGCAAAAGTAATAGGACCATTCAATTATGTTTTTTTTAACTGAACAATTTAGGTCTTGCTTTTAGTGGCAAGGCTATCCACAGAGCGTATCTGCTCTTTGCAGCTCCTGAACTGTCCCCTCAGATTGACTAAGTCCTGCCCGCATGTTGTGTAGCTTCCCCAGCTCACTGTGGGTCCGAACTTATTATTTATAATTGGTTTGGCCCACTTGACTCCTGTATCACTGGTTGTAAACTGAGCGGGAAATCATAGCAGTCTACATTGTAAGAGAAATAGCTGGGATCAAGTAGAGTTAGACAAAGTAAGTGTATGTGTTAAAGTGACTATCTCCCTCAGAATAAAAGGGGGGAATAGGTTTGAAATAACCCAATTCATTTAATTTTGCAAAAAGAGAGTAAGTTTTAGAAAAGCACGCAGGTGAAGGAAATATTTCTCATCGAATAAGGGGCCTGCACACCCATTTTAGTAAACAGAAGACCGAAGGGAAGGGCACCAGAAAGAGGAACACTCTGAGAGAGGGCTTCCCTGACACTGGCCCCTTACAGGGAGGGCTGTACATCAGGGGGAATTGCCAGCTTCCTTCTTGCTTAATTTTCATTCTCCCTATGTACTTCTCTCTTATGAGAGAGCAGACATGAGAACTCTTTTTCTCTTAGAAGTCCGGCATTTTTTACAAAGTTTACGAAGTCTTCTAACAATAATTTACCTTTCTCAATGCATTATTTCAGATATCTGAGCTAGAAAGGCTGTGTGTGTTCAAAATTGTATAAGCTAGCCAGGCATGGTGGTGCACACTTGTAATTCCAGCACTCGGGAGGCTGAGGCAGAGGGGTCACTGGGAGTTCAAGACTAGCCTGGGCTACAAAGTGAGCTCAAGGCTAGCCTGAGCTGCATAGTGAGACCCTGCCTCAAAAAGAAAAAAACAAATTGTAAAAGCTGTTCTCAAGAAAAAAAGTGACTTAAACAAATTTTTATATTTAAATAATTGGATTTACAAGTGAAAGTGCTATTATTCTTTAAATTTAAAAATGATGATACTGTTTTTATTAGGAGATTTTTGATATTGTGCTATTCATGTGTTTTTCTTCTTTATCCTAGATATACATGGGGAGGCTGAGGAGCAACTATGTCCCAAAATATCAGGTGTTGAGGATTTAAAAATAAATAATATATTTCTATTTATACACGGGTTTACCTTATAAATTGAGGAATATTACAATTTCAGTAGTTAATCAAATCTGACCTAAATATTATCTCTGTTGAAGATAATCAATAGCTATATTGCCATTAAAGTAATAATCATTGCTTCATTATATTCTTTACTTATATAGTATGGTCACCCAAGTGGTTAGCAAGAGAAAGAATAATTTTAGGCCTGGATTCCCTCTCATTTAACTGCAAATATGCTTTAAATATTCAGCTACAGATAACCCCCGTAAAACAACTACACACATCCCTCACCACCCACAAGGCAGAGGCAGCCTGTGTCTACTCACTGTCCTGACAGGACTACGTTGTATGAAAAATAATTTTCATAGAGCCTCTGAATGTTACTGATATGAAAAATAGATAAAAAAATTTCTTGAAATTCTTAGTTTTAACAGGACTGAGTCTTAGCATTTCTTCAGTCCAAATCAGAAACATATTTTAAATAGAAGAAAAGTTAGTATAGCCATTCATTCAAGTTGTAAAAGGCTGCTCTATACCAAACCAAGGTTGTGTGCAAATATTGAACTTAATTAAAATACTATATATAAAATATTAACAGCTGCAACTATTAAAATTGCATTAAAGTCCCGTTAGCTGGGCCAACATAATATGACCTCACCTGTTTTGTTTTTTCAATTAAGTAAAGGCAGAACTTGCCTTTCTGAATGAGCTTTACTTTTCATACCATTTGTTCCAATTTGCTAATCTGAAATGTTAGCCACATAAAAGTATTTACCATCAAACCATACACTACAGTAACATAAGTACAGTGACAATCTTTCCACTAGATTCTGAAAAAAACCTCATGCTTTATTTTCTTAAATTGTAAATAAAACCTTTTTAGAGTGTGTTTCTTTTTAAAGTCCCATATAAAACTGTAGCTTTGTAAATTAAAGTGTCTGTTTGACCTTCTCCAATGAGTGTATTAACAGAATCATTAACAAATTATTGGTAATTTGGATGAATTAAAAAACTTAGGCAGAAGAAAAGATTTTCTTCAGGTTGAGTGTTAAGGTACCTATCTGATAATTAGATTGTATTGTAGCAGAAGATGCCCACCCCCAGCCAGTACACCTCAGTTACCCAGGGGACAGTTCCTGTTTGAGTTCTGGTTATTTCTGTCTGCTAGAAACTGCTGGTCGCTGTGATGCACCGCTGGTCACTATGATGCTTACTGTAAGACCCAATCCCCAACTGACAAACCATTCTGCCTCTGCACTTCCTGCCTGCTGATCCTATATAAGCCCTGGACCACCAGAGATCAGGGCCTGATATTTTGGGAATGATCCTCATCAGCGTCCACTGATGTAAAATAAATCTGCCTCCAAATCCTGGGTGTTGTTTCAGTAATTTTGCTTGCTGCTACAGCAATCATACTTTCCCTGATGAGTGTTTTCATTGAAAACCTCAAAAGATTTCCTGTTACATGTTTATATGTGCATATTATGTCTGCATATACACAGACATATATTTATACATGTGTAAACACACATGCAATTCACACATAAAAATGACTGGAAAGAAATATCCAAAAGTATATCTAGTTATTAACTGAACAATAAATAGTTTTATTTTCTTTCTACATTATTTCATAGGTACTAATAATTTGACATTAGCCATGTATTACTTCCATATCATTAGAAAAATGCCTCATCTCTGGATAACGGAAATGTAATTGATCTGAAGTTTGGCGTTTTTGCTTTTCTGAACTTCCAAACAATGCCCGTTTATTAATCTGACCTGCTCTATTTTGTACTGTTATAAAATCTGACTTAAACCTTTCTTCTGAAAAGTCATTTTTAAAATTTTATTCTACATATACATTTTAAGTCAAACTATATCATCCATGAGCTGTTATTTCAAAGCAGGAAATTAGCCTGTTTTCCTATCCTCTTTCAAAACTCTTCTGCTGGAAAGTTCAGGAGCAGCAAGTTAACTCCAAACTGGCACAAGGCTGGCAAAATCCACAGGTAGATACTCACACTCTAGTATTGTATATCTGAATCCTCAATGATCTCTTCTTAGCTTAAATCAGAAAGAGTTGTTGCACACTTCTTTAGAAAGAGAAAATTCAGGGAGACCAAATGAATCAGAGACAGAATTTCTAAGACATCTGAGCTTGATGAACAATGGCTTCCCTCCTTCCTTCTGTCTCTATCCTTAACTTGAGCTTCCTCCTCATCCTTAGACTTCCCACTTCCTTGACTTATTTCATGAGGAAGTTATTTCTAAAAACACAAACACAATCTTCTTGATCCATAAACAGAGGATGAAAAGCAAGAACAACAGGAAAACAGAACACAGCTCCACTGCAGAGAGACAGGAAGTAAACAAGCGTCTGGAAGAGTGGCTGGTGGAACAGCCCAGGACTTCAGTGTAGTCCTGGTAAGGAGATGGTAATCAGAAACTAGGTGTCATGTGGTCTGTATCCCCAAGTCTAACGAATCATCAGAGTCATCTGGAAGGTTTTACTGAATCTTCAGTCCAATCACAGTTGATTCTCCTTTACTGGGTTAGAAATGAGTCTTTACTAACTATTGTGTTATCCAGGAAGAAATGCAAGCTCAAAAAAATATGTCTCGGCCAAACTTACATTGTTTTTAGTAGACGATGTAGTGTAGGATATTCTATTTAAGCAAATAAGAGAATGGGAAAAAGACAGGTGGGGTGTGGATGAGCAGAGGTCTAAATCCAGGTGTCCTCTATTATAGTTCCATTTACGAAGGAGATGGGCAGAGAATTGAGCAAAAAGACTAAAGGAAGTACTATGTGTAGCTGTATATCTTAAACAGATATACACATCTGCCCCTGGGTCTTCTCCACTTCACTTGTTTCCCTTCCTTTGCCTCTCCCTACCTCTGTCTTTTCTCCCAGGATCCCCACAAATGTCACTTCCTCTGCCGGTATGGTCTATGTGATTTTTTTTTTCCTTTAAAGCTCCTACTCTAATCCCCCTTAGCAACTCTCAGGTTTCAGTGTAAATGTAACTTCTTCAGGGAAATCTTCCCTGCGCCATCCCTACCCTCCCTGCTAGAGGAGGAAGTGCCTGCTGTTACATTGCCAAATACCTTTCCTTTAGGAACGCTGTCTTCCAGGTAGCAGAGCTTTGCAGGTTCCTTTATTGATTAAAGTGGTTTCAGCACCACAGACCCTCCCTGGGTGGAAGCGGCCGTGTCAAACTAAGGACTTCACTGTGGATCATCCTACTAGCGTTCACGTTCTATATTTGTCACCGAGGTACTTCCAAGCATCCAAAGACAGAAGAGATAGTTGCGAACACAAGAACCATGAAGTCTCTCATTTGCAAATTCAAGATCAAGTCTCTTGCAAGATTTGGCAGTTGATTACCCAGTGAATGTTTGCTTAAGAAGCTACCCCGGAACCCATTTGAACATTTGGGTTTTGACGCTCACTTATGATGATTAATTAGCCCTTTCAGACTTTTATATGAAGTGACACAGAAACAATAGCACACTTTTCTTTACTCTAAAAATGAAAGGCAGGAAATCTTTCATAGGCCTTGGTTTTAACTTGTAAGAATGCAGGATGGGACAGTAGATAAACAGCATAGCAAAATGGTAAGTTACCTGACCGTCCATCTCTCTGGAAGTCCACGTGATACCACTCCCCGTCATTCACTTTCTTCTGCAGGGCTTTTATCTTTATGGTACCTGACCCCATGTCCAGGAGGAGGTACAGGTGGCCGTCCAGCATCTCAATCGCGAAGAAGTCCACCTTTATCATCTGCGGATGCTTCGCATCCTTCTGATGTCTTGGCTTGCCATGGCTAAATAAGATCAGGCCATTGGGCTCTGTTGTACGGAAGTCGAATGATATGGAGCCTGTTTTCTTCGCGTTCCATTTGGGCAAAGAGATGAAAGACTCTGGGGTTTCAAAGGTGATTGGGTCTAATGTGGCAACGTTTTCACATTTAAAAGCCACCACGCCGTGGATCTTCATTTTAGGGTCACCTTGCTTGGCAAGTCTCGATAATTCCAGCCTTACGTCGTTATTTTTATACACCACCTGTGGGCAGAGAGTAGGGGTGAGCAAATAGACTCTGGATTTTAATACATGCAACCTCTTATCAGTTGTGTAACCTGCACATAGAGGACACAAAGCACAAAACATTGTTCAATTTTGTTGTATAAAGAAGCTTTTTGTAAACAAAATTTGAGTAGCAATCCATTGAACAGTAACCCTCCTAATTTAATTTGATTCAAATAATACTCATGTAGGTGTGTATACACACACAGAGCCTGTTTTAAATTCAAACATTTAAATAAACCTGTACAGATATTTCATTCTCATGTCTAAATTAGCATGTGAAAACTAGAATTCATAGCAGCTATTCCATTAGCTGGCTATTATACTTTTAAGATTAAATATAAGCACTGAGGTCATTCAGCTTTTCCATCAAGGAAGAATTTGAAATCGGAGTTTCCATATGCCCGCCCCTAAAGTGTTAGACCTCTTCCGTAGCCTCCATATTCACTGTGCTTATTTCCTTTGGAAAATGCACAGCAAGTTCATGTGGAAAGCAGCTGCAACTTCTCAGTAAATCTGTGAAATATAACTCGCGTGCAGAAGCTCCCTCTGGCCCTGGCCCACATTAATAACGAATTGAATCTTGCTATAATGTGGAATCACCACATGAGGAACATTGTGTTTACTCTAAACGCACTCTGTGTTCCTGGTGTTTCATTTCACTTTTAATTTATGCAAATGCACAAGTTGCCCGGTGCTCTCATCTTCCAAGGCACCTCCACCTCGCGTGGCGTGGCCCAGCTCACTGGGCCTGAGAGTCCTAGAGCTTTTGAACTCCGAATAACACACTGCAGATTTCACCGGCAGGCCTCACAAGATCACACAGCACCATAATACCACGTGTAGTAAATTCATAATTATTTTGACATAGTACAAAGACAGAGTCATACCTTTTCTCTACAAAATGCATACAGTAGATAGGCACATTTGGACAATACATAACCCATACTGACTTAAGGGTGAATTAATTACTTCTGTCCAGATATACATGCTTTCAAGAAGGGTCCCAAGATTTCACAGGAGTCAGTGTTTTCAGATTCTAAATTCATTTATTCACACACAAAAATATATTTACATAGCAGGAAAAATCAGGCAGCCTGTATCTGATTGATTAGTAGTATGATGTCAACCAAATCAGCCCAGTAGCTATTTCCTTCAAACATGTGGCCAGCTGAACCGAGAGATAGGATTTGTTAGCTCCAGCTGATGAGCTTCTTGATCTAATTTGTTAGTCTATGCTTATTTATCAGTGATTAGGGGTGAAAGCTCTGGTATTAGCTTCCTTGAGTTTAAATTCCAGGTTTAAAACTGCATAAAGTATGATCTCCTAAAGCTTGTTTGTTTTCCTTAAGAGGAAATAATACTTCACGTGATGATTATAATGATTAAATGAGCAAGCAGATGCACCTGAGAGAATCTCCAAGCAGGCAAGAAATCCAACGCCAACTGCATTTGGAATTTGGGAAAGTGTCAAGCATATAAAAGTACCTGATAGTATATATCATTAACTCTTTATCATAATCTAACAGAGATTTAAATTCTACAGTTATCCATTATAGAAAATGGTTAGAAATTAAGCCTGCACATGCAATCGATTTTTATACTTGATTCTCAGCAAATAAGGAAGTCACGTCCTTCCAAGGCTGATCCTGCCGTTTCAGTTTTTCTTCATCTTGTGCAGGATTATTATACAGAGCAGGTTATCCCTTATTCTTTGAGTAAATATGACAATGACTTAACATACATCTATTGACAACAAAAGAAGAGAAAACGAACTTAAGCCATAACAAAAAGGGAATTACAAATTAATTCTTAAGAATACTGTCTTGAAAACAGAAAGAGCCGTTAAGCCTTAGGAAAGTAGACTTTGGATTGGCTTTCTTTGGAGTTTTTTAGAAGTGGAGAAAATGCTTTTCATGGATGATTTTCCAAGTGTTAGAACCTCTCAGGGATTTTATGCTACCTTGTCATCAATTTTTCTAAAATCTTTTTTCAGGCAGCTTACATTTTAATATTTGGAGATCCTTTGTACATATCTATGGATTGGAAATTAATATTTCTAACACAAAAGGTGATACTTCTATTGGTCCATGTCCTCCATGCAATTGAACTACTTTAATAATGGATTTTCTGACATGTTAAAGTGGGCATATTATATATATATATAATGAATCTTACAAAAGCAAGTACAAAGTGGAAGGGTGTGGGGTTATTTAGAATGAATGAACTGAGGGTCTTGAAGATGTGGACATTCAGGAAGACGTACAGAAAAGTTGGTATAATTCTTGTCTTCCTATTGTGCTGGGTTAGCCAGGTAATTCTCTCCCTGTCTTACACACAAGAAAAGAATGTCCACCAGAATCTGTCTTTTATAGAAACAGGATATTTGATCATTATAGCACAACACCAAGATCAGCACTTTACACAAAGTACACACTCAATAGATATTTGCTAAAAGTTGAATAAAATGTTTCACTCACCCTTTTAGATCTAAGTTTCTGATTATGCACATTTGCTTTCAAGAATAATAGATGCACAGTGAAAATACAGCATAACGTTATCTTGTGAACCAATCTCACAACCTAACCACTATTTCTGCTCTATTTCGCTAGGAAAATGTGTAGACGTCTGTTCATATCCAGTTCATAAGTGACAAGCTGAGCTAAGCATGGGGAAACTTATGCTCCAATTCATCTTGGGTGTAAATTACTTTCTGAGTAAAAAATTCCTGAGTGAAAACTCTCCCTAGGTGGAATCATTTTCCAAGAAAAACTATCTTGAGGAGAACAGTGTAAAACTTTTCTTAGCATTTTGTATTCCTCGAAAGTCTACTCTACAAAACAGAAAACAATTTTGGACAGATAGACTTATAGCTCCACAATTTAAACTACTACTTCATCTGGCCCAGATGTCATAATTACTCTACGTTTCTAAGGTTAGACTTATTCTGCAAATGGCCTGAATCTAGTTCAGTTAGAACAATGAGTAGCTCTAAGCCTTCCCAGTCTTCTTAGAGCTTAAGTGAAAGCTATTCTTGCTTCATTCTGAAGTGCTGTGACACTCAATCATGTGATTCTTCACAATTATTCGTATTTTATTAACATAGAAAATTGTAATTTAAGTTCCACTCTTGAACAAATATATTTTTTCCTATGATTATATATCATTGATGATACTGCTATATACAGATTGGTCATATTTACAGAACTAAGGTTTCTTTGGGGATCCTGATTTTTCTTGAAAAGGAATTCAGAATGTTGAATTTCACCTCCCTGTTTCACGCATTTCTATCATTAGTATCAAAGGGATAGAGACATAAAACATGCTTTCACTTTTTTGTTGTTTTTGCTTTACTGTATTTGTTTTGTTTTTAACTGCTGTGTAATTTCAGTCTTGTTACCATGACCTTTTCCTTCCCTTTCAACATTTGTTAAGAGTTAAAAAAAAAAGTGTCCCCCAACTTTAATACACACAAATCAAGAGTGACGCAGCTCACAGGAAGTCAGGGGATCTTCTTCAAATGAGAAATGAGATGGAGGAAAGGTGAAGGCAGGGGCACAAAGGTGGCAGAGAAGCACTGATTAAAAAGATCTTTCTGCAAGGGCGAAGGGGACCCGAGATGGGAGGAGCCGGGTGGGGAGCAGGAGCATTAAGCTGTGTTGTGGACACACACCAGCTCCCCACCATAACCTGATCATTATGTACTGCAAACGCGCACCAATAGAAATTCAAATTTTAAACAAAACAAATTTTAAAAATGAGTATCTTGTGTTTCTATATTCCTAGGCTTTATACTCAAGGTAGATATTGGAATGTGATGCTTGATCTTGGTAATAATCCTGAAAATGCGACCATCCAGGTGACACAAATAAGGTAAAGAACCCACGTTTGACAGTGTGTACGTAAATGGATTCACTCTGTGTGCTGCTGACTGAGCCGACCTGCCTAGCCTCTGGACGCCTGTTTCCTAAGTTCTGAATGTGACATCTAGAGAGGAAAGTCAGGCCTCACCTATGAATTCTTCAACTTTTTCTTTCTCTCGTAGACAACGTAATTTGGGGGAAAGGTAAATGGCACAGTACTATTATTTCTCTTTTTATGACTCCTGGTTGTGGTTTTTGACACTAGACGTTGTTCTCTATTTTGAGACACACTGAAACACTCATCCAGTAGGAAAGGGAACGTTCACTGCGTCTTAAGGGTCCTGGACAAGCCAAAGGTTCTCTCTCAGGTCTGAGCCAGTGGCACAGAAGCCCAGGTGGCTGTAGATAAGGCCGTTTCCACAGGGAGTGGGAGTACGTGAAATACATATTCTGGTGGAAAACACTGGCCACGCAGAAAACAACTTGTAAAATAAAGATGTGCAGACATTTTAATGAGATTCTTGAACTAACACGCGTTGACCAGGAGTTTTCATACCTTCACTGTGACAGTCTGTGAAATGAATCAACAGTGGATGTAGAGTCAAACAGCAATGTTCACTTTGTTATGACGACCCTGGAGGGCACACGAATGACTCACTGCAGCGTGCCTTGGTCTGCTATTTCATACTTAATGACAAGCTTAAGGCTAAAGGTCTGCTTCTGAAATCAGACTGCAGAGAGAATCCACGTCACTCACTTGGACACCTGTGACCTCGCACAAATTCCAAACCTTGCTGAAGCTCAGTGCTCTTTTCTGTAAAATGAGATAATAATACCTACCATAGTAGGATTATTGAAAATAATAAATTATATTTCAATTACATTATTAAGAATGAGGGGTCTGGAAGAGAGTAAACGCTCAAGTAAACATTAGTAGCTTATATTAATATACTTCTGAAAAAATAACGCTATTATCATTGAATAATATTAAATATATAACAGTGAAAACTATTGCATTATTATTGAATTAATAGGATTGCACAGTGTAGTTCCAATCATCTTAAGGATGAGAAGGAACATGACATGCAGCTGAGAACAGCAGAATCAAAGGGACTT